CTACGAATAAGTGTACTTAATCCCCTATGAGGTTTAAAGAGTTAATTACCTCTTTCATACGAGTTAAGGTTTCTACACCTTCCTTGGATGCACATTATCTAACTACGGGATGTGGATATGGGGATCATTTCATGCTGTAGTGACTTGGCGACCCTCTTATTTATGAACATAAGCTAAGATCATAAAGTTAAAATAGAAGGTTCATAACATTTTCATATTATCTTAAGTCAGGATCTTCCCCAAAAAATACACAAGGTTCATAACATTTTCATGTTATCTCAAGTTGGGATATTCCCAAAAAAAACAAGTAAGGTTTACAATATTTTCATGTTATCATACAATTTGGGATCTTCTCCAGTGATTTGCTAAGATTGGGATTTTCTCCTAAGGTTTTTCAAGAATTACGATACTAATGTATTGCTTCAAGACGGGATACTCCCCAAAAAATATGCAAGACTTGTAGCACTATCATGTTGCAAAACAAAAGTTCCCTAAGTTATTTTCCAAATTGGACTCATTTCCAATTGATTCCTAAGGTGGGATCCTCCTTGAAGTTTACTAAGTCGAAGACAATCAAGGATCCTCCTTGATGAACTGTTAAAGTAAGGTCCCTTTCATATACGAACTTCAGGATCCTATGGAACTAAGTGAATCGTAATTTTACACTTCTCTTAAGTCTAAAAGCTAAAAAACCTAAGGATAATTAGGTTCTATCTATCATTTTTTTGCATTGTTGAAGATTTATCATCCCAAAAGGATCTCAACTATTTGAGATCCTAAGTTGGCTACTTACTATTTTCAGGTTACTCAGATCCTGAGAGTTCTTGCAAATCCCGAACTCTCTAAGATCCTGATTATAAGGATCCTCGAAAATCCTACTATTAAAACCACGCAATTCAATCAAGCATGAAAAGAAATATAAACAACCATAACATTGAAAGGGTTGCCCACCAACCCCACAAAAAAACGGAAAATAGTAATATTGTCTTACAAACCTAAATTCATTCAAATTGTTTTTAGAAAAACCAAATAAATGTTAAAACATAGATCGATCGCCACCACTCAGAACCACCTCTGTCTTGCCCTTTCTCTTTTCCCTTCTTCAGCTACAATGTAAGATCATGACTAGCTTTTACAGGCTTGCCAAACAACTTGGTAAGGGCCTCACACCATCCGATCACATTCCAGGATCCCACATTCTCCAGATCATCTGCAAGCTTGATCTTTATTTCCTAAATAGCCACTGCAACACTAGCTTTCACCTCAGCTATGACCTTAATTATCTCAGCCGCATGATCCTCCTCCTTATCAATTTTTTCCTTGAACAACATCTCCACCCTCTGCAGAAGCTCCTTGTTAATCTCCTCTTGCCCTCTCAAGGCACGCTTTGTTTAAGTCAACTTTGCCTTGGAATCCTCATAAGAATGAGAGACATGATCAACCACCTGTAAAAAGCAACAATAAGTAGAAAATTGAATTTGAATAAGGGGAACACAAAAGCACTTACAGACTGGGAGAAAGAAATCACCTTCCTTAATGCTTCGCCTGTTCCTAAATTCTCAAGATCCCAAAAATCGGAAGATCTTTTCTTGCGAGATGAAGAAGGCTTCACAGTAAGGTCAAGCTGGGTATTCTTGGTGGGAGCAGAAGGTGGGATCTTTTCCTTCTTTACATAGAGCAGACCACTAAACATGTCATCCTCAAGATCAGCCAAAGCAAAGCGAGCACTAGGACGAGTAGTTTTGGATCTTGCAAACCATGAAGGATCCTTGTAAATTCACGATCCTAATATTGAAGTAAATAAACAGAAAAGTATCCCAATCGGTAGCCATGGAAGCAGTCGTGGATGAACCTTCCTGAAGATTCGCACAATCAAACTTGAACGTCCTAACACCCGCTGGTAGAGCCTGAAACCTTTGCCTCGGTATCTTCAGCTTCAAAAAAAGCTTCTGCAAACTTCAAACCCGCATTCAAACAAACAAAATAAGAAGGGTAAAATTTAGGATTTTCAAAACCAACAAACGAACCCTACCCTTTTTAGCCCAAGTTTTAGGCAAAAACTCTCCGCCGACAATAGAGTCACGCCTCACAAAGAAATACTTCTCCTTCCAGGCTCCATCATTGTGTTTTGATTTCAAAATCAAAGGGTACCAGTTGGGCTTGACCTTGAGTAAGAAACGAGAATTTCCAAAAGGTAGAAAGCTCATAAATGAAGGCTAACTCAGGAAGACCTATCTCTTGATTATGTGAAAGATTTACTCGGTTAATCCACGACAAAATCCTCCAAATTACATGCATGGTTTGAACAAAATGAAAGTTCAGTAGCTTGTAAGAACTTGGAGACAATGCCGGAAAACGGATACCTTAAATCAATGGAAAAGGGTATTTCGAAAAACATACCTATGAAGAAGATGCAAAATCAGGTTGAATAGAGGCATCGAAAGGTTTGAAACCAATGTCGGAAGGGAAAGCTCCTATAAACTTAAGGTATTACATGTCCTTGTCATCAAAGGAACATATCTTATTGTAGGTCATGATCTCCTGGTTCAAGAAATCGCTCTTCGACGGAGCAATAATGTTGGCACACGAACGAGTCAACTTTTTTCACATGAACGATTGCAGAAAAAACAAAGAAATACAAGGAAAAAGGGAATTATCTCTGAAAGAGATTATGGATGATCGGAGGGAATGATAAAGAAGGTAAAAGAAAATGACGGTTCCTTACCCTACTTAACCTAGCCACAAAAGAAAAAAATATGATTTGAATAAGCAATAACTACCCTTGATCGGATAAATCCTATCCACTTAAGATTTGAAATTCAATTTTCCTATCTCTTTCTCTTAATTAATATTAATTTACCTAAATTATCCCTTTAAATATCGGATAACTAACCTCAATATTTCATAGGAATAATTTGGGGGCAATTGTTAGGGTCGGGATCCCATAATCACATTTAGGATCCTCAAAGCCTCAAGATCCTTAAACATACTTCAGGATCCTGATTATTATCATTTATTTTCCTAACATTTATAACGGCTATATGCTTCTTTATTTTTCTCAATTGTGCAGAAATAGACAGCTAAAAACTTATTCTCAATAAAGAATCATCTTAACCAGGCAAAAGACCAAGAATATCAAATCAAATAATGTCTATAAGCTAATCTCGGAGGATCCCGAAATTATCGTACTTCTTGTTATTAACATTAAACTATAAATAACACTTGTATTCATCACATTACACACACGATTATCTCATTTACGATACTTGTACTTATATTTACACATTCATCTCTGTAATTAACATTTTCAATCAATAAAATCATCAATGCGGATGATCATTATCACCTTCCAAGTTTTGTGCTGGAGATCCTGTTGGATTAGTGTCTAAGTCCATAACTATTTTGGTATGTACTTGACCCGATGGTGCATGGTCCTTTTGGGTTGCCTTCACCAAAGCAACTTGATTGGAGAAATATATAGAGAGAGAGGATAATATGATTTATTAATATGTTATAAGAATAATATATTAAAGGAGAAATCATATTTGTTTAATTAATATGGGTCAATAATTAATTATGAATTAATTTTGTGATCAAGTGTAATTAATTAAACTAGAGGGGCTGATTTGTAATTATGTGATAGTTACAAAATAAGGTAAGGATTATCTTAAATATAGGGTGAACGAATTTGAGGTGATAAGGCCTTAGAATTTGACTATGATAAGGATTCAAGGATTATCTTATGGGTTGCTTTGTGGATAAGCAACTAGATAAGGATAATGACTGAAACCCTATCTCTACACCTATATAAACACCCCTTGGCTCATGAATTCGTGTATCCCTTCCCAAGAGGTCCTAGATACGAATTCTAACCTCTCACCTCTCTCTTTATACCTTCTCCATTTGCTTATGGTGTTTGTAAGCCATTAGAGGAGTGACACTTGTGACTCTAAGCATTCCAAAGTCAATCCAAGGTGGAGTTATGATTGTTATTGCTATATAACAATCAAGGTATGTTCTTAAACCTAATTATATGTTAATGTCGATTTCCATATGTTAGAATTAGGGTTTATAGTCTTGGATTCAAAGCATGTACAATAGAGAAACCTAGATCCAAGCATTAGGGTTTGTATGAGCACATAGGATGTCTTATGACCAAAACCCATCAGATCCTAGCAAGGAGTAAAGGCTTTCCTTGTAAACCACTTATATCACTTTGACCATCATCTTGTATTTGCTTTACCCTGAACATCACAATCTCTCACACAATTTGGTTGAGTGTCACTTATGTAACTTTAACCAAAAAAGTTATGCAATGTTATTTGGTTATATTTTCAACTTCTCTCTCTCTCTCTCTCTCTGTATATATATATATATATATATATTACACACAGTGACGGAGCCAAAAAAATTATACGGGGTACAAACATTATCAATAAATATTATATGTAGTTATAATATCCGAGACATTAAAAAACATAATATAATCTTTTCAGCTGCAGATACAATAACATACAACATGTTTACAGATAATTTTATATACATAAAACAATTTTTTTAGGGATGTTGTAGTACTTCCAACCCCCATGTAGATAAAACATGTTTAATACTTTACATAAAACATGTTTAATACTTTACATATATAAGTATATGACTTTAATTAAAAATAAAAACAAACCAAAAATTGACAAGTAGATAATATTTATTTCAAAATTATCACAAATTGACAAGTATCAAAACTCATGAGAGATTGACAAGTATCAAAAAAACCTTCATTTATTAAGGAGGATGTGACACAACTTGTTGTTTGTTTGTCTTTCTTATTCGATGTACGATGATAACTAAGATGTATTAATCCATTAATATAATTAACTTATTAGTTAATTTAAAAAAAAAAAGATACATATATTTTACCGATCTAAAACAATACTTATCGAAAAGTTATGATATAAATATTCTTGTTTTTCAAACAACGATTAATATTGCGGGTTTTTTAGACTATTCTTTTTGGGTTGAAAGTTGAAATCCACGCGCTAAATTGGGCCCGTAGAAAAGCACATTTGGAAGCTTGCAGTGATGAATGGTGCTCATGCGAAGAGAGGCGTGTATTTCTTTTGAACATCCACCGAACCGACCCGTTTGGTTTGTCCGGAGGTAACCGCTTAGGTTTTATTCTTCATATATCATCCTCCACACCAATTCCCCTTCTTTGCAAACCCTAGACTTGCTACAGAACTCAAAATCCTCTTTCTATCTTTCTCTATCCCATCTTACAATCACTTTAGCTTCTCGATCGGTCCGTAATCGCAAAAGGTAAGTTTTAATTTCGTCCCATTTATCAAGTTTATTCAAGTTTTCGATCCTCATTGTAATCAATCACTTGATTTTTGAATTTCTTTTCTTTAAACCTTGGGGATGAGTTCCTGTGGTTATCCTGTTCTCTTACGGTTTCTTTAGTTTTTCTCTTCCGTCTTACATGTGTATCGTTAATTTTGCATCAGTGATCGATCACAAAGTTTTTGGTTTTTGGGGGTTATGTTAGAAAACTTATCATTTTACTTATATATGTTAATCAAACTGTTTGATTTGCTTTGGATCTCAATCCGGAATTTAGACTAAAAACCAAGAGTTCATGTATGTGTGTGGGGGTCAGTTGGGGCATAGTAAAGTACATGAATGTTAAAATTTTGTTTACTAGTAAGTGATTCATGGATTCGTCTTTTCCTTTTTCATCTCTGTGTGAGTATGGTGGTTGAATGTCCAGGCATGGTAAACACTTGTAGTGAAGTTAAATTTTTCATTACTGTTCTGTAGATAAGAAAGCATGAGCACTAAGGCGCCATTTGTGAAGTATGCAAGAGGTGGTGGTAGACAAAGGAAAGGAGGACTGGATCTGAATGTTCCTCCTCCAAATGAAAACCAAGAACAAGCAGGAGGGCCAACTGTTTCAGTATCTCAGACTTCCATAGCTACTGCTCCAACTATTCCAGGATCAGCACTACCTGCCCCCACCCCCATTGATGTTGAGGAATTTGATGATGATGTTGTTATATCCTCCCCTCGAGCATTTGAAGAAGTACACCTCCTTTTCTATCTTTTATTTTGTTCACATAAAACCAAATTCATATTCTCAAAATTCTACTTCATCCTCAGGCTAAAAAGAAATCACAAAGAATTCGAAAAAGGCCTTTGGTGGTTGATGTGGAATCTGGTATATCCTACTACTAACATCACCATCAACAAATGCATAAAATTTTCTTCAATTCTTTTTGTTCTATTCTTAGTTTATTACTTAATCTGATGTACATCATTTCACAGAAGAGGTTTCTGCTAGGGTCAATGGTCATAATAACAACCATGGAAACAAACGGAAAAGAGGTGCTGGAGTTCCACCAGTTATCAATTGTGAGATGTATGTCAATTTGGAAGGAGGAAGCAGTGGTTCTATGGTAATAAATAGCATTGTACTTAATTTTTTTCTAATAGCATTGTACTTTTCTATACAACTTTTGTTGACTCTTGTATGATTCATTGCAGAGAGTGAGAGCACCGCCACCACCACCACCACCACCGCCGCCACCGGAGCCGACCTTCAGCTGTCCTGTTTGCATGGGATCATTAGTTGAGGAGGTGACAACAAAATGTGGTCATATTTTCTGCAAGGCATGTATCAAGGCTGCAATTAAGGCTCAGTCTAAATGTCCTACATGTAGGCGGAAAGTCACAAACAAAGATATTTTTAGGGTTTACCTACCCACTGCAAAGTGAGTTGCAGGTATATTAATGGTGTCTGTCTATGGATATGTAAAGGAGATGGTGGAGTTAAACAGGTAATGAGTGAGAAAGAGAAAGTAGAAGAATTGTTCCTGGGTATTTTAGTTTCTGTTCTTTTGTGTTGTGTTGTGTTGAGGAAGGGGTAGGAATGTCAACTTCTCAAATGTGTTTCTGAACCACACTTGAGTTCTATTTGATCTCCTTGTGTCTGAATTTTTCTTCTTCTTCTTCTTCTTCTTCTTCTTAGCTGGTAATCTGTGCAGTTAATTGGTTCTGTTTTTAACTAAATTTAGTGGAAATTCGATTTATGGGTATTGATATGAAATCGGTTTCTGTTATATCTCATTAATTGCCAAAGGTTACTGAATTACGAATTCTAATGTTGTCAAGTTAAAATCCCACAAGTTTCGCAACAATGTTAGGAAAACAATAAACGTGTTGTTGGACTTGGGCGTTTCTGATAAAATTGCTTTAAAGATCTTTGGTTAAGAGCTTTGATTGATTAATACACATTGTTGTATATGAACCGAGTAGATTCTGGAAAACCTGGACCCTATTTATATGGATTTAAAGAAGAAATTGTTGATTCCGTTCAAATGCGATGTAGGTGTTTTTTTAAGGATAGTATCCGGGCAACACTGGTCTTAGGTTTGTATTTTTTTTTTTTTGAACGGCATTGTGTAGAGTATCTGATGAAGATGATTTAGATTTGATGTAACTGGATAAAATGATAATAAAATCGGATTATTTTCCCAATAAAAAGGCATCTGATTTTGAACGAAAAAAATGAAAGACATACTCAGAAAGATGCACAAAAATAGTACCATGTAAAAAATAAAGATACAATTATATTTATATCTAAAGAATATTTTCTAAAACACTAATAATTAAAAACAAAATTACGTAATTAATTAAAACAACAATAATAATAACAATTAAAACTAAATAAACTTCTGATAAAATCGCAATACTTCAGTTAAGTTTACGGTTTAAATCAAACTTTTATTAAAAAAAAACAAAACAAATCAAACAAGATATAATAATAAAAGAAAATTACTAATCTAGTCTAAAACATTAATTACCTATTAAAAAATAGCAAAAAAACACATTAGCCAAAAATAACCACAAAAGAATAGATTGACTAGGATTAACCACGGCTGAAAATTACTCTTTTATGGTAATGAGCTAATGTTTCCCAGCCCATCTACTCTTTCAAGCCCATCTACTCTTTCATGACCCATTGACCCATAATATATGTATATAATTTTTCAAATTAGGTTACTTTTAACTACTGTTTTCTTGGTTTGCCTACTTTTTTCTCTCAATGAAGCACCCGAAGAACAACGAGATATGTTCATTTTTATCAAAATTTTACCGCATTCTTGATTAGGAGTAATTTTTGTATATGTTGATAACTTAAAAAAAAAATGAAAAAAAAAATATATTAAAACCGTAGACTTCATACGAAACCTACGATATACAAGTCCACAATACACAGATTGTGTAGTGTGGACTTGTACACCGTAAGTATCATATGAACCCTACGGATTTTTTTTTTTCTTCATTTTTTTAAAAATTTGTTTTAACCTGTAAGCAATTTTATATATATAATATATATATATATATATATATATATATATATATATATATATATATATATATATATATATATATATATATATATTAACTAGCCGTTTTCCCGCGCCAAGCGACGGGTGTGACAATGGTGGTTGGATGCTGAAAGATGAATTAAATACTAGAAATGGAAACGTCAGCGATATATATCCAAGATTTGTGAGCAGAAATTGTGAGATTTGGGGAAATACGGAGATAAGGAATGAACCGGGTCAAAATAGCCTAAAAATAGGAGATAAGAGATTTGACATTTTCAACTGTTGACCATATGTACTCTACTCTTTTTTTAATGCATAAATTGATTGTACAAATGCATTGTATATTTGTACGACTTAAAATTCAGCATTTGACCAAAAATGCTTTATAAGGTAATTAAGATATATATATATATATATATATATATATATATATATATATATATATATATATATATAGGGGAGGGTTCATGCGAAAATACAAATAATTTGCGAAAACGCGAAAACAAGAAAACCATATGATATTATGTCACCTCAACATTATATTTTTGAAAATAATTCATCCAAACTTTGAAATACATGATGATAATCGATGATAGATGATAGACTATTTCATATTAGTAAAGTATGATTTTTAACATTTTTATTATGAAAACATGAATTTAAAAATGATTAAGGACGTGAAAAAAATATAATTATAAAAACCGTCTTTAAATCTATATTATCATAACACCATCTAATGTAAACTTACTATCTTTAATTTATTGCTAATAAAATTATTTTTTTATAGTACATGTATCTAATTTTCATAAGATAAAAGCTGTTTTCGCGTTTTCGCAGGATATGTATATTTTCGCATGAACTTACTTCTATATATATATATATATATATATATATATATATATATATATATATATATATATATATATATATATATATATATATATATGTGTGTGTGTGTGTGTGTGTGTATGTGTGTGTGTGTGTTATGATTTCATAAATTTTTTTTTTCAAAAATCTTAAAAAAAGATTAATGCAACCGTAGGTTTTTTGGAAACTTACGGTGTACAATCAATTAATGCATAATTTGTGCATTAAAAGGTTGTACACCGTAGATTTCCTTAAACCTAGAGTTTTTTTTATATTTTTTTTTCGGGTTTAAAAAAAAATGCTATAACCAATAAACAATTGTATATATTGTTGATTCCATGATTTTTTTTTTTTTTTTTTGGAAAAAAAAATGAAACCGTAAGTTTTTTTTTGGAAACCTACGGTGTACAATCACTTAATTCACATTTTGTGTATTAAATGGTTGTACACCTTAGGTTTCCTTCAACCTATAGTTTTTTAATTTTATTTTCGTTTTTTTCAAAAAAAAAAAAATTCTAAGAAATCTTAACGATTGTATATATGTTATGATTTCATGTTTCCATTTTGTGATAAAGTATGTTATTTTCTATGTTTCCATTATAGCTTACTATAGCAATGTACTATCTCTTTGAAAAAATTTCTATGTTATAATTGATAGATACTTTGAAGTATAATGTATTGTTAAAATAATCTTGTGTTTTGGTAGTTTCGGCTTTGCCATAAAATATGTTATTGTCATACCATTTTCAAAGTACAATACTATATTTGGTAGGGGTGTGCAGAAAACCGCATAAACCACTCACCACAGTACCACACCGCACTGTATAACGCGGTTTGGAACATTCACGATGTAGTTTGTGGTTTCTAATTTTTTTAAACCGCACTATGCGGTGCAGTTTACAGTTTTTAAATCTAAAACCGTGGTTCAAACCGTACCGCAATATATATATATATATATATATATATATATATATATATATATATATATATATATAACCAATTGCTCATACATATAAACAAACGAAGAAACTGATCGAAGATTAAAGGATACAAGATATGGATTGAATTGATTTCATAACTAAGATCAAGTTTTTATTTCATTCAAATTGTTGATAATTGTGTAGTTTAACCTCTCTCTCCAAAAGGTATACCGTTCATACATCTCCAAAAGGTATACAGTTCATACATTGGCGATTAGCTTGTTAGATCTTGTGTATATGATGATATTATGAACTTGTGTCCCAAATATGGGCTTCTATTGCATGACATGCTATAGTGCAAATGGGTTGTCCTTTTGGACGTTTTTCTAGGCTTAGAGTGATAAAAATATGTTATTGGCCCTTAGTTCTTCGCTATGCATGAGTTTGGTTGTCTTAATGGCTTAAGATGTTGGGGTTTTTAGTGTTAAGCACTTTAAGGCCATGAAATACCATAAAGTTTGAAACTTTATGGTCAAGGACAACATTTGAGACTTGGATCTTTAATTTGGTTGAAAAAGACTTATGTATTAAGCACTTAATGGGTTGAGGAGTTTCAGTTGCATATATTGGGTGTACCAGATGGTACGTCGCACGTACGTGGTTAGGCCCCCGTTTTTTGGTCGCGACCGAGTACGCCCTACGTACGTGGTTAGGCCCCCGTTTTCTGGTCGCGACCGAGTATGCCCTCCGTACGGCCCGTGTACGAGGATGGGTCGACTCAGCTGAGTTGATTCCGTTGGGTTGACTCAGCTGATTTATTGAGATTGACCAATGTTGACCTAAGGGTATTTTGGGTGATTTTGTATTAATTAAGGTTGGGCAATGATTTCCATAATAGGTGACGGGTAAAGCTTGTATTCAGAGTGTCGAGACTTATTCCAGATTGTGTTTGGATCGAGAGGTGAGTTCTCTCACTATGCCAATAGGTCTAAGACATCAAGGCCGGCCCATTTATTGTGTTTATGTATCCTAGGATGTAGGATTGTTATGATATTTATATGTGTGATTGTCTTATATATGTCGTCATATGGGTGGTTGGGTTGAGACTGGAAGTCAACATACCCGGTATTGTGAGGTTAAGGCCACGTGCTAACAAACCTGGAATAGTTGGGTTGAGGTCACGTGCCAACAAACCCTGGATGATAGGGTTGAGGTGTTACTGCTCTGTGTTATAAACCAACAAACCCGATATGATTGGGTTGAAGTCAAGGACTAACAAACCGTGTATGTATGCTTGTATTATATTTATAATTGTTTGTATTATGGGAAGCTTATTAAGCTTTGGCTTACGTTTTGAATTTCAATGTTTCAGGTACTTCTGATAAGCGGGGAAAGGCGAATGCGTGATTGTACACATTATCCCGCAGTTTATGTTGATTGATACTTTGATTCGATATTTTGATTTATTATGACTTGTAAACAATGTTTTGGTAACTTTTGAGCTTGTGGATTGTGTTTTTAAAATGATTTTTTTTTTCTGTTCTGATTCATGGGTTATAATTTATAAACTAGTTGGATATCAATAAGGAATCCACTTCCCTTCTACTGTTCTACATCTTTAACGGAACATTTATACCCATATCACATTCATTAAGTTTGCCAAATCCATTATCCATCCATACGAGTGTGTGAGTGTTTGACACAGGGTGGCATGAGTTGTAGACATACAGATACAGTTTCAAGTCATTAAATACACTATAAACACACCAAAATTCCCCATGCAGTCTGCACAGACGCTCTTTATGATGCACCAAAAGTGGTAAACTAGAAGAATTCGATCACTAAATCTGATTATTGCTTAGTTGTACCATGTGTAATGTGTGTGTATTACTATGTGTATTCGATCAGTGATATCTCCTGAAAATCCAGTATAAAAAGACGAAGCTTCTAACAAATAATTTGTCACTGAAAAGAAAATAAACACTATCTATCGTTTTCTTTAAGCCAATGGAGAAAGTTCATACATCACATTCACTGCTCTTGCTTCTTACCCTTCTCTTTGCTTCCTTCATTCTCACAACCTCAATAAACAATCCCAATCACCAAACACCAAATTTCAAGAATCAAAATGCAAAACGTGTCAAAAAGGGCGAGGTTCGTGTTCATGCAAAAGGTGAAAAAGATCAAGCAAGGATTCCGTATCCAGCTTATGCTTCTGCTGATGGTTTTCAGGAGATGGAAGAAGGTGAGAAAGATGATGAGAAGATGGTTCATGGCCTAAATGGGGCTCTCTATTACGATGGGCCCCCACAAGGTTACTTTGGGTACCCCTTTCCAGGTGGCATCTTTGGATACCCTCGTAGTATTTTCGGGTTCCCTCGTGGCATTTTTGGGTATCCACTAGGTTTCGGAGGGGGGTTGCTTCCAGGTGGTTATGGTGGATTTCCAGGAGGTTATGGCGGTTATCCATATCCAGGAAGCTATGGTGGATATCCAGGTGGCGATGGCGGAAATCCAGGTGGTTATGGCGGTGGAGGGCCAGGTAACAAACCTGGTGATCATGGAAGTGGTGGAGGGTACCCTGGTTATGGAGGTCAAGCTAAGGAGGTGAAGGGCAAAAGAGTCAATCCACGTAATTGAGCTCTTTTGTTATATATATTATTAGATTAAATGAATAATATCAGCTCCTAGTTTTATAAATTAGAGAAGATTTCGGTTTTCTTGTGTTTTTGAAGAGTTGTGTTTCAGGTTCTAGTGAGGTTTGTGCTAGTGTAACTGCTATGGTGACTTGTATCTTGTTCAGTGAAAATGAAGAAATAGTTTGAATTTATAAAATATTAATAAAAAGTTTTTGGTTTTGACAAAGTTTCGCAATGTGGATCCTGTATACAATTTTGAGTGTAATTAGGCCGTACTTTTTTTTCATCGACTAGTATTTTGTTAAACAGTGTTTATAAATATATGTAGAAATGATAACTACATGTTTAAACACCCCAGTTCCCCTTCTAGCATTCATCTTTCATATTGATGTATAATTATATTTCAGAATTCAGATTTCTGATCATAGCTCTATCTTTTTTGTGTAGATTTCGTATCTATCTTTTCTGATATTATATTGATTTTGTATGCTCATGCCTAATCCTCTTGATTAGGCTATCTATGTGTATCTTTCAATCCAGATTTAATATCCTTGGCTAATTTCTTCAATGCATGGGAAACCTAAAAAAACGGAGAGTATAGTCGCAAAACCATATTGATAATCCCTCTCATTTGTTGTTAGTTATTAGTTACTCATCAAATGGCACTCAGCTCTTATCTTCAATTCAAGTTATATTAACAAGATTCAGCAAAAAAAAAAAAAAAAAAAAGGTGATCTATTGGTAAAAAATCGAACTAAAAAAGATAGCGGGATTACACTTTAATTTTCATTAGTTTTTCTATTAAAAAAATAAAACATAATAAAGTCTACATGCGAACGCGATCTTTGGTCACGCTATTGGATGGGGTAGAACTTAGAAGAAGTTGATCTCATAGATGATGATTTTGATTAACAAAATATCATTTTTACTTGGATTATGTAATAGATATTTTCTTATTTCCCTCCCGTGTATGTATGTCATTTAATTGTACCGAATATTTTTTTTATTTACAAATTAAGCATTATAAAAACTTGTTACAGCTCAAAAATCTTAAATAAAAGTATAATTAACATAGATATGATAGATATTTTTTAGAAAAAAAAAAAAAATAGAAGTTTAATAAAAAAACGTGATTTTTTAAACATTTATATCATTCATTAGTAGTCACATAAATAAAAGTAAGTTGTACTGCAAACTATTAATAAATTTTAATTTTACATTAGAAATCGACAACTGCACAATTTAATTTCAACAAATACTTTTCACACGATATAACCTAAAAACAGAACATATTTACAAATGCCTCATTCATTAGGTTTGCCAAATTGAGAAAAATTCCCTCATGACTTGTAGACATACATACAATTTGGTGTCATTAATATCCGATAACTACACTCCAAACAGAGAAAAAATTCCCATGCAGAGACGCACTTTATGAGACCCTGTAATTAGTAAACCAGATAAATTCGATCAATGAATCTGGTTGCTTAGTTGTACATCAAATACTGTGTGTCTCTGTGTGTGTATTACTATGTGTATTCAGTATTGTCTCCTCAAAATGCACTATAAAAAGACAGGCTTGGAAAACATAATTTGTCACTGAAAACAAAACAAACACTATCTATCGTTTTCTTTAAGCCAATGGAGAAAGTTCATACATCACTTCTCTTGCTTCTTATCCTTCTCATTGCTTCTTTCATTCTCACAACCTCAACCAATCCCCAAACACCAAATTTCAAGAATCAAAATGCAAAACGTGTCAAAAAAGGCGACCTTCATGTTCATGTAAAAGCTGAAAAAGATCAAGCAAGGATTCCATATCCTTACGCTTTTGGCGATGATTTTCAGGAGATGGATGAAGGTGATAAAGATGATGAGAAGATGATTCATGGCCTAAATGGGGCTCTCTATTACGGTGGGCCCCCACAAGGTTACTTTGGGTACCCCTTTCCAGGTGGCATCTTTGGATTCCCTCGTGGCATTTTCGGCTTCCCTCGTGGCCTTTTTGGGTTTCCACTAGGTTTCAGAGGGGGGTTGTTTCCAGGTGGCGGTTATGGTGGATTTCCAGGAGGTTATGGCGGTTATCCTTATCCAGGCGGCGATGGCGGGAATCCAGGCGGTTATGGCAGTGGAGGGCCAGGTAACAAACCTGGTGGTGATGGTGGTCGTGGAGGTGGTGGAGGATACCCTGGATATGGAGGTCAAGCTGAGGAGGTGAAGAAGGGCAAAAGAGTCAATCCACATGATTGAATCCCTGTCTTATTATTAGGTCAAATGAATAATATCAGCTCCTATTGTGTTTTAGAAGAGTTTGTCTAGTGAGGTTTGTTCTAGTTTGGCTGCTATGGTGACTTGTACCTTGTGCAGTGAAGTTACAACATGAATAAATAAACAGAGGTTATTTTATGTTATGTCAGTGATTTTATAATATTTGGATAATTCAACTCACAAGTCACAGCACAATACTCCATATCATTTGATTTGATCATGTAACTCAAAATTCATAATACAAAATATATATAATAACCAAAAACTGATAAAAACACAAATCCTTCTACCCTGAAACATTATTTTCCCACAACAGATTATCGATAAATATATAAATATCACTCTACACACATAACATCATATCAGATAGAGCACATAATAACATATATCCAGAAAATCACATACAAAAGACAGATATTGAACACCAATGGAAAAGGGTAAAAAGGTAAAACAAAACAAATGGTAAATATGCTTATCTTTTCTCCGGCTTCTTTCTCCATTCAGTGCGACACCTGTTTATTTCAAGACCAGTACCTGAAGATCTTAATAGATGCAAGAATCGGCTCAAATCTTCTTGTCCATTTCTTTGAGTTTCAGAGGAAACAACAACAGATCCATTGGTTTCTGTAAGGTGTTGTTCATCATCAGGTGATTCATAGCTGGTGAGTGAATCAACTATGTCATCTTGTTGGCATTCACGTCTGTAATCCAAAGTAATAGCTTGCAGTTCATGTGTGTCAATGATCTCTGGTGGAATGCTCTTTTCAATAACAAAAAAAAAAGGTATCAAGATTCATGAAAATGAGAAAATATTGTCTCAGGTTCATATAAAATCACTAACCTCAAGAGCCCATCCAATGTAGGTAACATTGTTAACATGTTTGTTCATATCAAGATCAGATCTCCTTGGCTGTTGTGTATATATAATATAATATAATTAATTAGATGAATGTTGTTAATATATAAAATAGTCACCACAAGAATAGAGCTTATAAATTGTGGAACTTACAACAAGTCCTAGTCTTGAATATTCAGCAGGATCTTCAAGTTTTGCTATTTTCTTCAGACTGTTATTGTTCTCTTCAGGAAATGCTAATCTGGAAGCCATAAGCTCAAAAATGTAACACCATTTTTATAGATTTTTTTAACTGAAATAATGGCAAAAATGAAGGCTATGAATACCTGAGTGTCCTTGGGCAAAAAACTAAGTATTCTTCTTTGACATCATCACTGACTTTCTGCATTCTTCTAGTATCCTCATTCATCATCACCCATTTGCTGCAGATTTAATCATTTAGATTTAGGTAATAAAGAAACATATGAGATGAAGGAGGTAGAGAAGGAAAGAAGTTTAAAACACACACACACACACACCTTGTAGCCCTTCCAATGATCTCACCATTGGAATAGTCTTTGAGGATCCAATCACGTCTGGTCCCCATTCTTCCATCACCTTGAACCCAAGTCTCAATTTCAATCACGTCACTCCTGTTACACATAAATAAAACTTCAAATGACAATAATAAGGTCAAACTGTGAAAGTTATGATGAAAGAGTTTGGTGACAGATTTACCAAGCAGGGTATCTGTATACTTCAATATGCATTCGTAAAGTAACCCATATGAGATGCAACTTCCTCATAGTAGTTGTGGTGGCAAATCCATCAGTAGAAAACCCAACACTCTGAGCATGATTACCTCCAACCTCCTGAAAATTAATTGGAATTTGTAGGAAAGGCTGTTAGAGTAACATCAAACGGCAGTGTCTACATATTATATGAATATTCATGTTCGAAGAGCAAGTTTGCATGGAGCCTGGAGGGTATAACTGGTGGCAGTAGCCTACTGTGCAGGGTTTCAGGTATGGAACAAACAAGCAACAATAAGAGAAGAGCTTCGATTTAGCACTCAGGTATATGAAAAAGAGTAGAATACACTCATCAATTAAATCTACAATATGATCCAATTTAGCATCTTCAAATCAATGCTGATATACTGCACTGAAATGATACTAGTACACAGAGTACTACAAGTACCTCTAATTAACAAGCTTCCACAAGTCTAATATGGAGCGACATGCATTGACTAATTCAATAGGTGTGACAAGCAAGATAATTGGGGCGAAATTACAAATCGATTTATGATTTATAGTTTTATACTAGTGGCTAGAGTAAAACCTAACCTGCAACAGATTGGCAATTGTTTCAATGGTAGCAGTTTTGTTAATTCCAACTTCATAACACCTAATAACGAACTTCTCCTTATACGATAATCCATCCTCCGTCAAGCTCCCCAGCCGGAGCTGATTCCCCAGGCTCTTTTCCTTCTCCGCCTCATGTAAACTAGCAACGTTGTTCGAATGCTCCCCAGTTGTTACGGCCAGTAACGGAGAAACTCTCCTCACCGATGAATTGCATAAAAAGACGTTGTATTGTCTATGGTTTGAGATGAAACCGATGGATCGGGAACGAGTTAGGGCAAAATTGATGTCTTTGCCGGAGGCATTGTACGTCGTCGCCACCGCTGGTGCTCCTTTCGATAACATAGTTGCTCTTCTCTCCCACGTCAACGTCCACACAAAATTTCTCCGATTGTGACGGATGGGGAGGGTTTTCTGGTTCGTTGTTTCCAAGATGAAGAAGATGGGGGTACTTAAGTAATTGTCAAAGGATTTTACTCGGCTTGACGGCTTTACTCAAAATAAAATAAAATCAAATTGAACATATCTTGAGTACTTACTAGTGTTTTGTTTTGTTTGGTTTTGGCGTTGTCCGATCGTTCATTTGTTATTATTATTATTTTTTCTATAATTTTGCTTTATTGTTCACATTAATCTTTTTATTTTTATTTTATTTACAGGAACTCATATCGTTGTTCTATGTTTTTCTTGTGTTTTATCTTAAAGTTCACTTTAACTTATTATTTCTTTGTTTGTATAACTTCCTAACCTTATGTGTTTGTCAAGTTTAGCCCTTATTGTGAAAAAGGTGGTTTTGAATACGCAGGGCGTACGCATATATACGCTCAGCGTACTCATGCATGTATCATGGATGCAGAGGCCACCTACTATGCTGGGCGTACTAGGCTCAAAGTGAAACCCTAATATCTTTTTGTGTCCCTATTTAAAGAACATGATGGTCTCATTTCTAGTCACTATTATCAGCCTCCAACCTCCTCCAAACCCTAATCCCATTTCCATAGCTTGTGTGAGTGTTTGTGGCTCATTTGAGTGTTGTTATGAAGCTTTTGATGAAGAAGGAACCTTGAAGGAAGGATAGCCTGTGCTTCTAGCTTGTGGGTTTAAACTCTACCTCAGTTTGTGCATCTTCCAGAGGTATCCAGTTCAAAACTTGTTCATTGTATGTTCTAGTTCTTGTTTTGGGTCCGTTTTAGCGTTTTAGGTCCCAAGTTTGGAATTTTGTGAGTTTGGTGAGCTCATGGGCTATTCTTCTGTCCTTTTAGGTTTATTAGAATGTTCTAGTCCATAAAAATGAGTGCTTGGACGTTTTTATCTTTCCATGCATGAGTTGTATGACTTATTGTGTGAGAAAAATGGAGTTTTTGGGATTGGGTCTTGATTAGTCATGCAAAGGCTTAAAGTTCGTAACTTTATAAAGGAGTAGGTCTTATTTAGCCCAGATCCATGGTTGGAATGTTTGTCTTAACGAGTTAAGACTAAAAGAAGTGAGAAAAGGGATACTGAGAGTAATCCCAGCTACGCCCATCGTAGGGTGGAGAATCCTCATCGCATGGGCTTTTACCCTTATGAGATTTAGCTGAGAGGCTTGGTCTAGCAATTTGGGGTTATTGATATTATTATTAATTAGAGTTATATGTGGCATGTTTAAGAGGAGTCCAGGCCAGCAGTTTGGGTGCGAGGTTACTTGCTTTTCTATGAAAGGTGAGTCTTCTCACTATACTTATCTGAGTGGTGATGCATGTATTGACCAGAGGGTCTTATTTGTATTATTGACCAGAGGGTCTTATTTGTTTATGCTAAGATATGTGTTATTATGCATCCTATCTTTGTGACTATGTTGTTATATTATTCTATGTGTATATTGAGTTATGACCGGAGGGTCCATACCGAGATGTGAGACCGGAGGGTCCTTATTGAGACTAAGCCATGATAGGCTAATTATATGTGTATGTGGTATTTTGGAGAACTCACTAAGCTTCGTGCTTACAGTGTTAGTGTAAATGTGTTTCAGGTACATCTCAGGATCGCGGGAAGGCACCGACATGATTGTACACATTCGTTTGGTGATGGGATATTTGAGGATTTGGGGGTATTATGACTTTGTTTCATGATAACTTGTATTTGACAATTACATTTCGGCATGGGTTGATGCTATGAACTATGTTTTGAGAATTTAAAAATGAAAAAAAAAAGTTTGAAATTTGTACTATTACACATTCAATATCCCTCAACCTAATAAAATGGTATTTTTAAGACTTTTGTTGTTTGAAATATATATTTTTTCACTTTATTCTGTTTTAGAAGAAACAATTTAGTGATCACAACACAACAAGTGAAAAGGCAACAGGCAACAAGTTGCACCGTTAAGCCTTTTTGTATGGTAAAACCAATTCTTTTGAATACTACATCCTTAGATCTAGAGATATAACATTGTTATGCATGATCCGTTGTACTCTATTAAGAAGTTCCATCGCATTCGGCGCGAGGAAACCAAATGTATCAAACGTAAATGGTATGAACATGTGATGATTTTCTATGCATAATTTCTCATGTTTTGTGACCTTGCATGTAGCAACTTTTAAAGAAGCTTGTCCCGCCTTGAAACCCCAAGCCATCATGCCCACGAGATTGGATACCCCTATAAGGTCTACACATGTGTGTTTCCCTCCAATCCATCCAAAAACCAAAACTTTAGCCGGTCTAAGGGTTGACCTTCTTTTTATCAGGTCAATCAAGAAATTCACAGGTGTCCCTTTCTTAGCGGAAACCCCGACACACTTAAATATGTCAAACAAAACATCCATAACCATATTATGCCTGTATTTGAACCCTAAGAGTTCTTTACAATGAACTGTATGCTCTCCAAAAGAGTCCAAACATGCATTGCGACACACTAGTCATATATCGTCAGCTGAGAATATTGGGATCATAACTCAATATTTAAGGATAGTACAATACTTCACAGGAGAAATATGTTGACCAAACCTATCTATGGGGATAGCTAAAAGAAAATATTGAGCATGCGGTGCTCGTAAACACTAGAAAACTGCTTTCTGTCAAACCGTCATGTCGAAATGCTCTTTTATATCTTGGACAATTTTACTAAAAAAGCACTCGCTAGTGTATTATGGTACTTAAGAGGAGGTTATCCTTGGTAGTAAACTACTAAAGTCAATGTTCGAAAGCTTGTTACGAAGAGAAGCCGATGAGCAAGCATAATCAGAATTCATACCACATATATCGCTATCTCGTAAGTTGTGGTCTTGTAACACCCAAGATTGGGCCCTTGAGGAAACAAATGCATATGAGATAGCCTCTAGTGCAGAGTACAAACCCAAATCACCACACCTAATGGGTAGGTAAGCAATTCACTATTGTATGTCACCAAAGAAAGGGTCACCACAAACCACAATGTCCTCAGTCACCTCGCGCAATCCTTTGTCAAAGAATATTGTTGCCTCCTCCATGTGAATGGGTTGGCACGTCCTTATCCCAAATAAAAATTTAGCAATACCTATACATTACCGAAGCGAAAGGATCTCACTCTGGGGGTCAGAAAATTATGGAAGAAGGCATATCAAATTCACAACATTTTCAGCTCTCTTATTGCTAAGCTACTAATGAAACTAGCGTCTCTACGAACAGCTCCCATAAGAAGTTTCACCCCAATGGCGCCCTCCCGATGTCAACCAAGAATATCGCTTCACGATTCTTACCATCACACGAGGGCCAAAAGAGCTCGGTTTTCTTGATATTCATCTAAAGTCCTAATTTTGGACCAATCACCTTAATGATGTCCAATGCTTTGGCCACCTCCTCCAAATCTCTAATAACTGTGCCATCATCAAGGTACCATGCATGGAGAAGAAACTTGCAATTGACAATTGTCTATAATATTATGCAAGAATGGATGTATCATAAGAACAAAGAGAAGTGGTCCCACGCGGTATAATTGTTGACATATAAAAATATTTAAACTCTAAGTTCATTATCTTTTTACACTATAAAGTACGCTTGTTAGCAACTTAAAAAAATTCAAATACTTTATTTGATAAACTCAGTAATATCCAAAATAAAAAAAATTATTACTTTCTCACAACATTTATTGAGTTCATTAGTATTTTAAAGAAATTTTAGATTATTTATTATTCAATTATATCATATACCATTTTTAATATCTATACATGTATTTGTTAGATGGGAACTGATTCGTACACAACACTTTTTTTCCATACACAATAATTTGTGCTTTAAAGTGTTGTATTGTACAACTCTATAATGCATAAATTGTTGTGTACGGCAAAAAACTGTTGTGTACGAAGCACTTCCCATGTTAGATACTCTTATATATATATATATATATATATATATATATATATATGTGTGTGTGTGTGTGTGTGTGTGTGTGGGTGGGGTGGGGTGGGGGGATCAATGGCAAACCACTTTGAATTAGCAAACCAACGAACCACAAAAACATCAAATTTATTAACAACACATTTCAATAGATTAGATTTAAATTTTTTAAAATTCGTTTTAATTGCAATTGATGGTAGATCAAGAACAAAAAATACATTTTAATTGCAAGTCATTCATTTTCACATAATGTCAGGGTCGAAATGTTGTAAAGAGTCGAAGTATTTGTATGGTAATTTCGTATGTATATACTAAGGCACATGTTCAGTCGAAACTTAATGTTGAATCCTTAGTATTTTTTGTACTTTTAGTATCGTATAAATAGGGTCTAAACTTGAGTGTAAATAAGAGAGTTCTCACAATTTGTATTATCTTTTTTTGTACTCAAGTTTAGTTGAAAGTAGTCAAAGCTTAAACGAGATCATATTTACTCCGTGTGTCTTTACTTGATCATGACTGGATTTACTCTGATTTACATTTGATTACTCGTTCAATTTTTTTTTTTCACATAACCAACAAACGAATATATGATGAATAAAACTATGCATCTATCAAATGCATAGAAGATTTTGAAAAAAAAATGAATTCGTGAGACATTCAATTCAATTATGTTAATTAATGTTGTTTTACTTCAATTAATCATTTGAATCGATTTTTATTTAAGTTAATGTTAACTCAAATTACTTCAAATTGAAGATTAATCCAGACCGATATCTGATATTTTTTTTTTTTTTTTTTTTTTTTTTTGCATTTATCAAATGCATAGTTAGTTGTTCATTTAAACAAGACATGTTATTCTTTTAAATTAATCGTAAAAGAAGTTACGTAATTATTCATTTTTTTAAAATTATTCATATAAGCATGGTACCTTATTGTTCATATACATACATATGCATATAATTGATCGGATATATAAATTGTTTTATACAGTACAAACCTGGAGTTCCATGTTAACCAGATCCTCCTGGTTTGGTGCCATGCCCATACCATATTTTAATTGTTGAAGCTCTTATTTCAAACTGGAAATTTACTTCTGATACTTCTTGATAAGTGATTTATCATCAATATTTAGAACTCAAACATTGAGAGGTAAGAACATAATGGTAAAAACTAGAAAATTTCAAAAAAA